AATATGTTGTTCAAAAAGTAGGAAAAAATTATGGGTGTATGTGCAAATTTATTTTATTCAGAAAATGCGTGATTGAAAATAATTTTGAAAAAAATGTGTTTTAGAAATCGAGGATCAAATATGGGTGAAGTGTTTTTTTTTTTTTGCCCCTTATTTTGCTAAGACCCATAATAATAAACATTATTGTATTATCTTAGGGTGCGTTTTACTACAAGCATAGAATTTGCATGAAAAAAATAAATTTTAGGCAATTCATTGTCTAGAACTTATTTGTATGGAAATTGCCAATTAAATGTGTTTGATAGATTTAATTTTCAACAAATAAAATATTATACTTATCAAATTTTTATTGGTGGATAAATGGGAGAGAAAAATAGAGTGAATTTTCTGGAAAATAAAATCCTCCCTAAAGAAAATATTTTTCTTGATTTTGAGAAAAATATAGTAACATGACCAAAAGTAGGAAAATGTTTTCCATGAAAAAAGTCGAATTTGGGTGAAAAAAACATAATTTTCATGAAAAATATTGGCAATCAAACGCACCACGTTTTTAAGGGCATGAGGCAAAATCTTGAATTCTCTTATGCAAATTTTATCAAAAGCAATTTTATGAAAAATGTTTAGTCTTTTGAAAATATATAGTTAAACATACGAAATAATAATAGATTAACGTAAAAATTATTATATTGGGAGATGTGTGATTAAACATACGAAAGAATAATAGATTAACGTTATGGAGTTTTACTTTTGAAATGGGCCTAAACACGATCCGTGGCTGATTGGGCTTGGCCATAGTCCCAATATTTTATAACTATTAATTTTTTTGGGGCAACTTTAAAAAATACCCCTAAATTTATTGGTGTTTTGAAAAATCATATGAAAAATATTTTGGAAGTAAAAAATACTGTGTAAAATTAAGTGTAGCATTTTTTACTTAAAAAGTGACATTATGTGACACTTTTATTAAAAAATGATGTTTGTCACTCTAAAAAGTACATAAATTTTAAGAAAGTGACACAAAGTGTCAAACGCTCAAGAAGTGATAGAAATTTAAAAAAGGGACAAATACCCAAAAAGTGACAAATTCAAAAAAGTGAGAAAACACCGATTAATACACTGAAATCAGTTTAATAAAATGACAAAAAAAGAAAAAAAAAAGTGAAACAATTACTGTTCCTCCTCTTTCTCCGTTCACCGTCAAACTTGGGTACAGATCGTAATATACTGCATCTACAAATACATTTATACATCAATGTCCACATTCCACAACTAAGGCAAAACAATTTGGATATCATAATAGCAAAACTCACTGATACAAACAAAGAATTTTGGATGTCATGGCATAAGGAAACTTCATGTTAATTCTGAAATCTAAATGATAAGAATGAATTCTGTATTGATTGCTTTGCCCAATTTTTATTTTTGAATTCTGCATGTATTGATTTGGAAAGAATAGTTCAATCCTAGGGTCATTTAAAAGAAAAAAAAAATTCAATTACAAAGACTGTTTGAGTCTATATTTGGTATAGCATTTCTTAAACAATTTACCATATCACAAAGTATTGAATTATAAATGTTACATAGTAAATCTTGAAATTTTATCTTTTAATGATGTAGACACGAAATTTCCCGTGTTTATCTAATATCTTATTAGTTTTGGTTTTATATAGAGCTTCACAATAGTAATGTAGTCCCGCTACAGCAATATTAAGTTTTGTAGTTTTGTTTACATTGTGAGTTGTCACACTTTTTTACCCTTGATTTCAACAAAATTTAAAATAACTTATGGCACATGTTTTTACACCTCATACAATGTCAACCTTAATGTATACATGGAATGTACAAATAATATTTTCCATAGCTATTCCCATACGGCCGTGGGCTTGGACATTGAAAGCTTGACCTAATTTAGATTGATGCCATGCTAACCTTGAGAGAGCTTCAAGCACTACAAATTTTTAAGGAGTCGCTTTTCTTACCCATTATTATTGCGTACATATTCCACTTGAATTAATCTGCAAGTACATTTTTTTTAACAAAATTGGTATAGAAAGATACCGGTCTCTATGTGATTTGCTGTTGTCAAAAACTGCAATTACATATTTTTTTAACAAAATTGGTACAGAAAGATAGCGGTCTTTCTGTGATTTGTTGTTGTTAAAAACTGTTTTTGACAACAGCCAATTATAGGAATACAACTGTTTTTCTGTACCAATTCTGTAGAAAAAATCTGTACTTATAGCATTGTTCATTCCACCTTATATATATATATAATCCTCGCATACTAGTCACCATTGTTATAAATTCAAGAAAATATAGGAAAAAAAAAATACAAAAAACTCAAATTTTTGTTTTGATAATTTTTACAAAAAAGATAGTTATCAATATTTTCAATTAAAAGAAAAACAAGAAAAAAAGACAGTCCCAAGGAAATAATTGAGATCCACTTCCCATCTTTGCGCCAATCCGCTATCTCATGGTATCTCAGCGACATCATCGTACTATCTGACAAATCAGCATTACTCGACTCGAATCCTCCTGCATCAAGTCAAAACGCCAAGCATCTTTAATTTAATTCAGCACTATCATCATCTACCAACTCAATCAACCCATTTATCATATAAATTTAAAAATGACATGCAATATTACTTCTATTAAAAAGTGACGTTTGTCACTAAAAAAGTGATAGAAAAAAGTGACACAATATTGAAAAAAGTGATAAACATTAAAAAAAGTGACGTAAATTCAAAAAGTGACATTACATCGATCAAAACCTTAAAATCTACAGAGAAACAAATTACAGAGAAAGAGCAAGTAAGGAGATGAAATTGAAAATCAAAGCATCAAAAATAAAAATCCTAGGTGAGTAAAGTACCTTGGTAATTCTATTTCTTAACTTATATTTAATTTTGAGGCAATAGAGAAGCCAACTGAATCAAATTGGGAAAACACTTAATTTGCAGCCATTCCAAAGACCATAACCAATAAAACAGAAGCCGAAAACACCCTCCAAGTTCTCATCTTTTCGATATTAGAATTTAGTTTTCCAATTTGTCTATACTAGACATCCTATAAAAAAAAAATACAAAAGGAAAAATTCACACGTAGAACTAACTAGAAACTGAGGCCACTGGGGAACCTACTGATGGTCCTCATGGGTCAAGTGACCCACCAACTTTCAAGAATTATTATTATTATTATTATTATTATTATTATTTATTTATTTATTTATCTATTTTTAAGATGACCCAAAAATCAGATTTGGGTAGTAAAGATGGTTGGACTTTTTTATTAGAATAGATTTACAACAATGATCGAACAATTGAGAGAGTGAGAGTTGAGACTATTTTGTCAATTACGATATTTAATTTGAAAATTCCTTGAAAAATGTTGTTCATCATATATATGAGGTTATTTGAAATTTTTCAAGAATTGTTATTTATCATATATGTGAGATTTGTGAATCTATAACAATGATCGTCTGTATGTGTTTATATAGTATACATAATTTTTTAATAACTTTTTAATAAGTTTAGTCGTGTTCCACTCAATCTAAATATCTGCGTCTGCCACTGACTGATGCACAAGTAGCATTCCAAGAAACTCCACAAACTGGGAATGACTCCAGCTTTGTTCATCTCATCAATTGGGGTTGGAATTTCTTCACCCATGCTTTGAGTCTCAACAATGAAGGTTAGTGTTCTGTTATTTCCGCATAATGACTTCTTTTTATCAAGTTTGGGTGTTTTTAGCGTTTTAATTACGGTTAATTTGAATGATTAATGAAAAAATATTAATTAAGTACTATTCAATTTTACTACTTTTGGGTCGTACTGGGCCTAATTTTCCCTTTTTTCGTCTTCTCAGGCCCACGTATTTCGACCCAAGTGAGATGAGACCGGGTCACGTAGCATACTTTATTTACAAATGTATACAACACAAAGCAAGGGGCTCTATAATTAGCTTTTGCGTGCAAATAAAAAAAAGTCCTATTTAATTTGAAAAATCTGGAGATATACATTTACTTGAAATTCAAATATTTTTGTTATCAATTGTTGGGTACATGCCAAATTGACATAAAAACATGGGATTAGATTTCTTGGTTTTGAATGGAAGAAAAATAAGAAAGTGAAGAGTAAGGGGCGACGTGTGTGATGAGTAAAAGGGAGTTTAAAAAATGTGTTTTACTTTAATATGTTAGCAGTTTCTTTAAGTGTTGGGTGGTTGTGAATCTCTTGATTTCTTTTGTTTGACAGTAAAGTTTGGTTTGAATCTGGTAGACTTATCTTCACTACACCCGTTGATGTTTGGTAAATCAAGAGGACTTGCATATCCATAAATTCATGCAGTACAAGTGTTCTATTAAATGCCTCGAGATTTTTGGTGTAACATATAGCAAATTTGAGAATGGAGGGCATTGAAAATCTTGTTTCGGCTAGAAATCTTTTGAAGGGCAGCCTGGAAAAATCAAGAGATATAGCTTTTGAACTCAATAAGATTAGTCCAAGATTGGAAAAATCTAACCAAAGATTGTCATTTCTTGAAAATTCTATGAAAGATATGGCATGTAAATGCAGGCTTTACGAGATTAGGAGCCACGTTGATAGCGCAATAGGCCCTGCTGCAGGTGTTTTGAGGATATTGGACGTGGTTTATGAGCTCGAAGATTCACTTGTGGCTGACCCTGATTCTGACTTGTTCGCATATATTGCAACTGTCAAACGCCTTGAAGACGCACTAAAGCTTCTTACTGATAATTCTGAGTTGGTGATTCTGTGGCTGGAAGATTTGGTGCAGTTTTTGAAGAACATTGAAGTTTCTGATGATCATTGGTACCTAATCAATATGTCGAAGGCATTGGATATACTATGGGAACTGCATTCAATGGGGCAAAACGGTAAGGTTCTGCTGGCTGCACTCGAGAACCTGGAGAATGAATACAGGCATATTTTGACAGAATACAGTTTTCCATTTCCACTGTGTTCGTTGTTGCCCTCACCCAAAGGGAAAGCAAGCATATTACCAGTGTCTTTGCCACTGCCTGTCGTTGAGAAGTTACAAGCCATAACAGAGAAATTAGCTTCCAATAATCGACTTGAAAATTGCGTGTCCATCTATGCACAAGTCCGAAGTTCAAATGTACGAGCAAGTTTACAAGCCCTTGATGTGGATTACTTACATATACAATTGTCTGAATTTGACAGCGCGCAAACTGCAGAGAGCTACATGGATTTGTGGGATAAGCACCTCGAATTTGCTGTGAAACATCTGCTCGATAAGGAGTACCATCTTTGCAGTGAAGTCTTTGGGAAGGCCGGATCAGATGTCTGGATGCATTGCTTTGCAAAGCTCGCGATACAATCTGGAATCAATGATTTCATCAAATTTGGTGACACAATTACTAAATGTAAGAAGGATGCAATCAAGCTTCTAAAGTTGTTGAAGATTTTTGCAACTCTGAACAAACTGAGATTGGATTTCAACAGGCTCTTCAGTGGGAAATTCTGTGTTAAGATTCAAACTCAGACGAGGGATCTTGTTAAGAAAGTAGTTACTGGTGTGTGTGAAATTTTTTGGGAACTTTGCATCCAAGTCGAGTTGCAAAGGCAGTCCAGTCCACCACCTGATGGCAGTGTCCCAAGGCCCGTGTGCTTCGTGACTGGATATTGTAACCAGCTTCTTGAAGACGAGAATAGGTCAGTTCTAATCCAAGTTCTGGAGATATATCAAGTTTGGAACCACGAAAGTTGCGAAGAGGAAGTTCTTTTCAATGAGATTCACAGCGTAATGAGAGAACTTGAGCTCAATTTGGAGTCTTGGGCAAAGGCATACAAGGAAACTGCCCTGTCCTGTCTTTTTATGATGAATAGTTATTGGTTCTTCTTTAATAACATCAAAGGAACCAAACTTGGAGATCTGATGGGGGATTCTTGGCTTAGAGGAAATGAAGAATACTTTGAATACTACGCAACACTGCACATGAGAGAAAGTTGGGAAAAACTTCCGGTGCTTTTACAAGAAGAAGGCCTAATCTTGTTCCCAGGGGGTAGAGCCATTGATCGAGAATTGGCGAAGAAACGAATTAATTCGTTTAACGAGGCCATTGACGATATGTATAAGAAGCAATCTAATTGGATTTTGTCTGATAAAGGGTTGAGGTTAAGAATATGCCAGCTTGCGGTGCAGACTGTTGTTCCACCTTATAAGAATTACCTGCAAAAATGCGCGTACGGGATAGAAAATGAGGTCGGAACAGGCGGCGATTTTAAGTACACTGCTGAGAGCTTAGAATATTTGATCAATTCTTTTTTCCAACAGAAAGTTGGGAAATTTGATGGCACAAAATGCACAGATTTGATTAGAATCAAGAATGCAGTTATCAATCACTTCTCATTGCCTGCTGCTGCATAATTGTACTGTCTTGTTTTCCTGTCCAAGAATATAATGTTTTAGCCTTGTAACTAGATCTTTAATCCTTAAATTATGCTAAGAGGAGTCGTGTTAAAAAATTTAATTTATGTTGGTCTAATGTTTCTGCAGAATGTGATATGATAAAAGAAAATGCAATCATCAAGAAAATACTGATTTCTCCATGCATCTTCTTGGATATTGACTGAGGAAAAAGTTGAGGGTTTAATCGAGTTGAATCATGATCGAACTTTTAGAAGTTCAAGATGAAAATAAACATGATGTCAAGGACATTCTAATCAACGCAGCACATTTAGATCACTCAGCAAATTTTTAAATTTTTTTTTTAATAATTAATTATCAAGAAACCTATTCAACTTGTGTGGTCAATTCATTCGATTCTCGACTCATCGAGTTTCAATTGGTTTTTAAGATACGGTTTTTGGCTTCATTCTCTAGTTTTAGCAGTCAAATTAGCCGATGAATTTTCATGACTAGTCAACGGCCGTTGATCTGACATATTTTGATTCCAAAAGAGAGTTAACTGTGGTTGAATTACTTCAACCACCGCATACTTGTTTATCAGAAGGAACCAGTAATATGTCAGACTGGAGATATTAACTCATGTTGGCTGCAAATTAATAACAGAAAACCGGTCTTTCTTTATTCTACTTTTGCTTTATGAACAACTCTAATGTGTACAAGCCTACTACATATAATTTTTTTAAGGGCATTTGCAAAAATGTTCAATTTTACATATGTTAATTCAGAAATGTCCACTTTTGATAATCTTTGAAAAAATGGTCAAATTCGATGCCAAATCTCTATTTTACCCTTAATGAAAGAATAAATAATTTCTGATTGCACATGTCAAATCACAATTAATGCTAGACACAAAAATGTCGAGAACAATATTTAAAGTGTAGAGAAATGTCATGTTCGGAATAAAATGTCATTCTAGACATTTAATATGTCGAGAACAACGTTTGAAATGTCGAGAACATTTAATGTTGTGATTTGACATGTGAATTTTTTTTTAAATATAAACGAATTCAAATATTGAGAACGACATTTGAAATGTCGAGAACTTCATTTTAATGTAGCTTTTCATGGAAGATACTTAGGTGTCCTCTCATCTAAATAATTGCAAAAATGGACATTGAATTTTTTTTAAACATTTTTGCAAATGACTATGTCAAGAAGGGTTTTCCTTGGACAAATAAGTTTTTAATGCTTTTTAACAATTTTTTAGACGGAATTAATCATGAATGATTGAAAAAAGTGGGTGATATAAATGCGCAAAAGTTCAAAACATTCATTGCATTTAAAAGTGGAATAGCTAACCAAAAATAATTGTGCTGCGAAAATAATTATCCCAAACAATTAAGGGTGGTTTGATATTAGGAGACTCAATTTTACTGTGTGGATGAAAGAATCAGCAGTGAGAAGAATCAGTTAAATATTTGGTAAACTTTTGTTTCATAATCCTTGCATGGTTCAAAATCAACGTTTTCACATTTGGTAAACAAAACTGATTTATTGTTGTTCCGATATACAACTACTAAAATTGATATTGTTTGCATAATTATTTTCATGAGTAATATTGTAAAATTTCTTTTCATTTTTTATAACAGAATGTAATAATATCAAATATTTTTCTAAGACAATGGATTCATGGTAATTATTGTAAAATGAAAATAAAATATCTATTAAATTTGAATTTTATAAATCAGAAAATAAAAGCATAGTCCACATGATAGAAAAATATTCAAATAAATTTAAATTAAGTAATTTTATTTCTTAAATTATTTTTGGAATATCAATAAACCTAGGATGGAAAATGAATTAGTCTAATTTATTATGGTTAAACTCGATATTTTAATTATAGATATGACTATAGTCTCACAACATTTTCATGATTGCATCCAATTTTAATTATATGAAAGGTCCATAGTCTTTATTCATTATTACATATATGTATTCAATTTCTTTTTATTTTATTTTTATTTTAAAATTTTCATTAAATAGTAAATCATTGTCCTTCATGAAGTTTTTTGTCCAAAATTTCCCTTAAAAGGGAGTAAATACTTATTTTCCTACTATATTTAAATAAGCAAAAGAAGACAACAATTACAAAAACTTGTTGTATATTTTAGTTTCGCAAGTGTACGAATCGTAACAAGTAATAGTGAACCTAAGAGTCCGGATTGTCGATCCCATAAGGACTATTTTCTAGCACTTAATTCAATTTTTTTCTTTAACTACTATTTGATGGAAATAAATTAAAAGTTGTATGATTTGAGTTTTAATTTAAAATCTAGAAAATAAATGCATGCTTACTCGATTGGTTGAAAAATCAAATAATGAATGGATGTTAGGATTGAATAACTTCACCTATTGCTCACCTTTACATCTCAAATTAAGACTCAATTCTAATATAGTGTTCGGTCGAATTCTTTCATTGTATTCAATTTACCCTCTTGAGTTCTCATTGAGCCTATTCAACTAATTAAATTCCACATCTCTATGCAAATTCAATTTAGTTAAACGAGTTCTTTGTCCTATGAATTCAATTATGACCGCAATAAATGGTATATGTATCTTTACTCGTTATACCAATGTACTGGATTTTACTACACGGACTAAATCCTAAACCCATATATCTATTTGTAAAGAATTCACAAAAATCATCAAATTATTGTTTATGTAATTTAATGCATTCAACTCATAGCAAAATCAACACATGGAAAAAAATTAAAAACTAAGAATCTTAATAAAATAATGTAAAGCATTCCAATTGGTTACACTATTCGTCCTAACAATAAATTTAACTATTCATAATGCAAGAAGAAATATAGTAAATTGTCGTAAAATACATCACCGGATTTGTAATAAAGATGTAGAAGAAAAAGCAAAATTCTTGCACCAAGATCTTCTTCCGCTTCCTATCAATACTTCAAATTTTCAATTGCTTGGTGTTATTCTTCTTGAATTTCTTTCTTGACTTTTTGTTGTCTTACCTTCTAATGTGTGTAAAACCCCTCAAAAGTATGAGAAAAATGTATTTATAGGTGTCTCCTCAGTTTGTGTAGAAAGTATGGTTTTTATGGATTCAAAACGGTCCAAAAACGCACCCTAGACAATCTCGGCGCAGTGCCTGAGCGTTAGGAGTCAGCGCTTAAGCACCACGAACAAATTCAGGTAGCGCTGACTTTCGGGAAAAAAAATCAGAAACGTAGTACTTGGGCGCTACGAGGTAGCGCCTGGACGCTGTCGTCAATTCGATCGCACTGCATAATTTTCAGTCTTTTTATCATAACTTTTTTTTTCGATATCCGATCGAGACGATTCAAGATGTACTGGAAAGCTAAATCAAAGGGCTACAACTTTTCTTCAGGTACCATTTTCAAATTCGATCATCTGCTATGTCAAAATTGGGTCTCAATATGAGTCTAAAAACGATGCATACATTTCTTCGGTTGAAACTTGATTTGTGGTCAAAACTTGATTATAGTTCATCACTTTGATGTCTTTCTTTATTCAATGGACTTTGAGAACTCTTAAATCTTCATCTTGAGGTCCGAACAACTTTTGAGTATTTGCACTTTAGTCCCCGAACTTTGGATCTCTTAAACTTAGCCATTTTTTCCAAATTTGACAATTTTTGCTTATTTCCTTCAATTTCTTGTATCGTCATTGAATTTTACCCATTCAACATGAAATACAATAATTTAGACCATAATTCATACGAGAAGTAACTAAATATCATCATTTTAAAGTCTTAAATAAGTGTATAAAATAAACTTATTAAGTATCCCAAATTTAAACATTTGTTTGTCCTCAAACAAAATTATCATCTAAATAACCACGAACACAACAAGCATACAAAAGATAATTGGTTGGACAAGCTCTTTACCTTAGGATTTGAGATTTTGATGTTTATTCCACATGCTTCAAGTCACAATACCAAACCAATATTTACTCTTCCAATGCAAAACCAACACGTGTGAGTGAAAAATTAAGTAATCAAACATGATTGCACAAGTTATCTCAACTCCGACCCTCCGTGATAAAATTTATCCTTACGTTTTTCGTGTGATTTACACACTCCCAAACTTATTCTTTTCACTCATTCCCAGTGTGTAACCTAAGATTTAATATTTCATTACTATCCTCACATTCTCGAGTTCAGTTGGACATTACTAGTTGCAAGTCAACACTTCAGTGAACAAGGATTCTCCAATTATTTGATTGCTTCGACCGCCACGACTCAACTAGCTAATTATCCTTCATTGAAAGTCAAATTCCCTCAAATAAGTGTTAGAGCTTAATCAAGGTATTTAGTGCTTTTTCTCTTTTCATGCACTTGCTCTTTTTTTTTGTTTTTGTTTTTTTGTTTTAACATTCTCTCCATTAAGCTTTATAGATGACCACTGTAGCAGACTTTAGGCTGATGACTCCTAAATTAGTTGATTTTAGGGCACCGAGTTTTAAACACTATTACAAGCTTACTGACCCAAGTTAAAAAGGCTTTGAAGATAACCAATTTTTTTTTCAAGTGCAGCTCATCTTTGATTGCCTTCTGAATGACCCCTGTACCGAGCTTTAGGTCGATAACTCCCAAGTTAGATGACTTAGGTCATTAGGTTTTAAGATACATTTGCATGCTTAATTACTCGAGTCATGAAGATTTCAAAGAGAAGTTTTTTCAATTTCAAATGTATATGTCTTGATTAGTGCACTACCCCTATCACACACTTAATCAAACAAACCAATCTCCAACTTAAGACTTTCGCCTAGTTTTATCATGTTAATCTAAGACAATCCACACATAAGTTTTCACACATGGAATCTAAATTCACATTCGCATCTTCCTACAACTATAAAGCCACCCCCAAACTATGCTAAATTTGGTTTAAGGATAAATAATTTACTATGGTTTAGGAAAAACATCTATGTCCAATTAAATCAATCTATCTAACAAACGAATTAATTCGTTTCATCAGAGTGTCAAACTCAATTTTAGTGCATGTTTAATATCGAATTTTACAAGGTTAAGTTTCAATTAGTACAGCATGCATCCTATCCACAGTTCATAAATCAACACCGAATCTCAAAGTAAAACATAATTGTAAGCCAAAATGTCCAACTCAAAAAAAAAAAAAAAAAAGGAAG